GCCACATGTATTACTGCTGTTGTTATGTGTTCTTCAGTCAGTCCTGACCCCCAGCAATGCCATGTACAACAGAACAAAATGGTACCCGGTCCTGTGCCATCCTCACAATTGTTGGTATGTTTGAGTCCACTGTTGCAGCCACTGTGTCAATTCACTTTGTTGAAGTCTTCCTCTTTTTCGCTGATTCTACTTTATCAAGCATGATGTCCTTCTTCAGGGATTAGGCCTTCCTGATAATGCATTCAAAGTAAATGAGGCAAAGTCTCACCACCCTCACCTCTAAGGAACAGTCTGGCTGTACTCATTCCAAGAAAGATTTATTTGTTCATTCTTATGGAAGTCCAGGGTATATGTAATTCTGCCAACACCACAATTCTAAAGAATTTATTGTTCTTTGATCTTTTTTATTCATTGTGCAGCTTTCGAATTCATGAGGCAAATGAAAATAAAATGTCTTGGGTTGGACACACCTTAATCCTCAAAGTGACATCTTTGCTTCTTAATACTTTAAAGATGATAAACGGAGAAGAAGCAATATAGTTTTTTTGTTGTTATTTTTAAGTTATGTTTATTTAGCATATGTACACATAAAAGAGAAACTGCCCTCTGATACTACCCAGCAGAAAACATACACAAACCCACGGTATATAGTTTTTTTTAATTCTGGAAAACTTAAAAAATATATTATAGTGAGACATCTGGTAAGATGGCAGACTAGACAGACACACTACATGGATTCTCTGCAACAAATATATGAGAGACCAAATCAGACACATAAAATCCTGGAACCCTGAACTCCAGAAAAAGGGTTAGGGAAGTGGACTGAGTGCTTGCTGGGAGGAGACACTGAACAGGGCCAGTGGAAGAAGAATGACTGGAGAATAGTCAGTCAGATGCAGTGTGACCATCTTGAACCTTTGAGAGCAGCTTTGGCAACAGAAGGCAGCATGGCAGAGCAGAATCACACAGGTGACTGGAAAGGTGCAGTTCCTTCTTCTTCCCCATGGTTCCCTTGGTAGAGTTCAGAACCACTCGGTTGGGAACCATGCCAATGTGTGTCTCTGTGTGTGTGTGTGTGTGTGTGGTGGGGGCAGCTTTGCTACATTGGACTGTTTTGGTGCCTGGATTCAGGTGGGCTTGGCTTAGTACCTACAGAACCTGCAGAGTCACCAGATCAGCATTTAATGAATCACCCCCACACCCAGCTGCCCTAAAGGCCTAATAGACATTGAAACTAGCCCTGTCAAGGGCCTCGATCTGGAAAGAGTGCCCTAAACACAGAAAACACAGAGGCAAGGCCAACAGGAAATTCATTTAGGGCCAGGAACTCTGCTGTCCCATCCCTTTAACATCCAGTTGGGGAGATCCTTGGCTTGCAGGAGTCTCCCCAAGAATTTTCTCCTCTCTGTGTCCAATAGCGGCATTTGTTGTTGTTGTTGTTTTGGGGTTTGGTTTTGTACTTTTGTTGTTTCATTGATTTTGTTTCTTCTTTCTCCTTTTCCTTCCAGTCTGTTGAATTTTATCCTGTCTCTGCTTTTGTTTTGTTTTTTCTGTCTCTCATTTTCCCTCTTCTTTTTTGCCCCCTTTGACTTTTCATTACTACTTCATTCTTTTCTCCTTTCATCTTCCCTCTCCCTGGTTTTTCAAAGGGCTATTTTTATTTCTTCCTTTTATTTTCTCGTTTATAGTTCCATTTTTCTGTCCCTCCTTTCTCTTTTTAGTTATTATATTCTTTTTTTCTGGTCCTTGCCTATTTTTGATTCTTTTATTTCCTTTATTATTTTGTTTTCATTGTTGGTTGATTGCTTGTTTATTCTGTTTTGCTTCTTGGTCGGGGGGGGACACGGATGTTCTCCTCTTTCTCACCCAACAGGTGACAGCAATCATGCCCATACAGCCCAGACACAACCATACCCTCTACAAGTCCACCCACCCACTGGGAAAGTGCCAATGCCAGCTAATATACCACCTAATCAAAAATAGGCATCAGCCGACACCAGCCAAACCCACCCTAAATTGAAATGAACAAACAGCAAATGGAGAATGTTGTACACATTTCTATTCTCTAACTACACTCATAGGACATAGCTGGAAAGAGCCTACGAACACATCAACATACAACCATCAATTGAATATAAATATGAAAACACAATGTTAGCTCCCACAACAAACAAGACACAATGGAGTAAACAAATGGCCAAGATGCAGATCCAAAACTTTCTGAGGTAGAAAAGTGAAAAAGAATTCAAAAGAATGATATTTAGGAAGGAGCTCTGGTAGCATAGTGGTTACGAATTGGGCTATGAACTGCAAGGTTAGCAGTTCGAAACTACCAGCTGTCCCACAGGAGAAAGATGAGGCTTTCTGTTCCTGTAAAGATTTTCAGCCTCGAAAACCATGTACAGGGTCACCATGAGTCGGATCCGACTCCACAGCACATAACCACCACCACAAAGGATTAACAAAACAAACAAAAAACATTGACTGTGTCTTCATTTCTGTATCTATATGAGACATGTAGGGTATGGGCATCTTTAGGACAGGAGTAAGAAAATATTAGCAATAGATCTTTGAGTAATATAGCCTTAAAAGTAATAGGACAGGTATTTTCCAAGATTATAAATTATCAGAAAATCATAAACCTTCTGGTCTGGAGGATCCTTTACTAATGGGAAAAATGTATGAGCACTCTTGGAAACAGGAGGATATACTAAACTACCTCAAGTAACCACGCTATAACTTATCAAAAGAAAACCTTTCAGAATTCTCCCCAGGAAACAGAAGCCCAACAGCAGACTGCCTTATTGGAGGACAATCTTTTACCTAGAATCAATGTTTTGACTGCTAAAGAGAACCAACCGTATATATAAGTCTAGCAGCCAAAATCTACATGGAGTCCTATTGTGGCTCTGTAGGATGTCCACTAGACTGCTAACAAGATTGGTGATTCAAACCCACCAACCACTCCTTGGAAATCCTAAACAGGGTCGCTATGAGTAGAAACCGACTCCATGGCACTTAACAACAATAAGGGAACCCTATGTGTCTAGAAGCCAAAATCATCTGCTTGTCATGTAAATTTTCTTTATTATAACAAGGGCTGCTGAGGACTATATATCCATACAGGTTCTCTAGTTACTATAACGTAATTTCAGATTTCAAAACAAATCTGGTGATAGTGGTTGTGTCCTGACTCATAGCGGCCCTGTATACGGTTTCTGAGGCTGCAACCTTTACGGGAATAGAAAGCCTCATCATTCTCCTGAAGTGCACCTGGTGGATTCAACCTGGCAGTTAGCAGCATACCATGTAACTCACTATACCACCAGCACTCCTTGAGCAATATGTCTAAGTATCAATAAATTATGCATCTTATCAATAAGGAGTTAGTCTTACCTGTTCCTCTACAGTGGTCTCTGCACATGCTCTACAGAGTCCTTGCAAAGTATCAACAGCTGAACTGATCACTTCTAAAGACCACTGAAATCCATTCAGCTTACACTTGATAACATCTGAAAAGGAAGTACACATCTTTCAAGTTTATCTGCTGAAACACACACACAGACCACACAAGGGACCTTAAATATTTCATGGAAAACAGAATTACAAGAAAATGAAGCTTGGTAATCAAAACTCAACTAGAGGAAGATAAAAAATAATAATTTTTGATAAAGGAAACGAGGGTAAATTGCTATAAATTGATGAACTTGACCTATACTCATGGAGGTAGTAATTCTAAATATCAACAGAAAGGGAAGGTGTCTTCACATCAAGTATCAATGCTATCCCTCTCTACAAAAGGTAGATAGGGACAGGCAACTTAAGACATTGGCTACCTAAAATAAGGGGGTGATAAAGGCACAAAGTGAGTGGCTTACAAGGTTTCAAGAGGGCGTTTAGTTTAAGAGTGTGAGGGGAAGACAGAGTCCCCACAGAATAGTTTTCATCTTATCTAGATGGGTCTGGTGAAAAGAGATTAAGTCTTAAGATTCTTATGACTTAATAGTGAGTAACTGCTATCATGACAAATTGCGACTGTCACAACTGTACAGGCAGAAGTTTGTAACAAAAACAGGGGAGCAGTTAATCTTACAGTCCAGAAGACCTTATGACCAACAAGAGAAAAGAGCACAAGCGGTATGCGGGACCTTATCCAGAGAAACAATGACACCAGAGATGGAGGCAGAGATGGGGACAGGGAGAGAGGGAGCAGCTGAGGACTCTAGATTCATGGGAAGAGAGAGACTGAGAGCTGGTGGCCAGGAGGCAGACTTGCAAAATGTGTCCTTTGATGGTATAAATTATTATATATGCCTGAGTGTTTTTTAAAAAAAAAAAGGAGCTAAAATGAATATAGAGAAATACTGTTAACTGACGGTATATGGAGGGGATTAAAATCATTGTAATGAAACAAGGTGTATGATTTGTTGAATGTAAAACTGATGATCTGCCCTGAAAACTTTCACTCAATTCACAATAAAAACGTTTTAATAAAAACATAAAAAGAAAATGAAAAATTTCCACTAACATCTGAAGCCCTCTCATATGTTTATAATATGGAGTCCTGGTATGATGCTGTAAGGTAAGCACTAGACTTCTAACCACAAGGTCGGTGGTTCAAACCCACCAGCTGCTACTTAGAAACTCTATACAAGATCGCTATGAGTCAGAACTGACTTTACGGCTCTCAACAGCAAAACAACATTTTATATGAATCACTGATGTGGTTAGCAGTTGTTTTACCCAAAGCACACTCTCTTTCTCTACAAACACACACATATACACTCACACACAAGACTGAGGTGAGAGGCACCACTGTTACCAGGAAGATTCTACCAGAGGCACTCACCAATCACTTTGTCCCGGGTGCTCTTAGGAAGATGCTTTGCAATATGCCCGATGACACACAGAATATGCCCCAAGGTGTTGGAATTGGGATTCTTTTGACTAGGAAAAGGGCAAGAAAACTATCAATATAAAACCAAAAAGAGCATAACTGCCAACAATATGCTTCTCCTCGGGAAAACAATGAATACTGAAGTAAGTAGGGTAGTAGCATGGTTTAAGAGTCAAGCTGTAGGAACATTAAGATACTTAGTGTACTTAGAAGTTAATCAGTTTAAAAAGGATTCTTGTCATTTGTCTTATGGCAGAATTTAAAGAAGAGATCTCTGTATATAAATAACTACTAATTAGCTTACTTTAGATTCTAGCTTTGTTTGAAAGGATCTTTAATGCCTGTCTATTAGTGGCTAAATTGTAAACATGCAAACCTGCTGATTTTCTCCCAGGACTCGATTATTTTGGTGTAATTCAGCTTTGGTGATGAGCAAGCAACCTTGGAGAGCAGCATCCAGGCTGGTGCAGAATGTTCTGTGCCAGTATGCGATATCAAATTATTTATAAAAGTAGATGAGAATTTATCTTTCTTGGACCAGATATGAAAAGCCTTATTTAAATAACGGCTAGGAAAAAAAGAAAACAACGTGGAAAAGAAGAATTATAATTACATACATACAAAACTATTCTGATGATCAGCCCCTCTGTTACAGTATTCCTTTGGCACATACAATAAGCACACAGAATTAGCTACTGGTGTATCAGATAGCAAGATAAATAGCTTTTTTCATATACGGAATAAATATGACTTATTTCCCCTTTTATAAAATGTTTATTTTCAAGCAAGCAACATTTCACAATTCATGAGACCTTTCCATCCTGATTTCCTTCAAAATTCCCACACATATGGGATGGCATGCCAATTAACATATTAATTGAAATTTACATGGCTATAGTGACAAAAAATATAGAGTGTCCTCTTTTCAATAGCAGTATTAACAGAGAAATGGTACCCTACCATTTAAATATGTTATTGTTAACTGTTGTCTAGTCAATTCCAACTCATAGCCATCCTGTAGAGGGTTTCAGAGGAGCAGCTTGTGGATTTGAACTGCCAACCTTACATATGGTTAACATTAAAAAATGAAACAAAACAGATACCACTGCGTCGATTCTGACTCATGGAGAACACATATCTCAAATTAGAACTGTGTTCCATAGGGCTTTCAATGGCTTACTTTTTGGAAATACATTCCAGGTGTTTCTTCTGAGGTGCCCGAGTGTACCCCAACTTTTGAACTTTCAATAGCAGCCAAGTATGCTATTTGCACTACTCAGGGACTCTGTTATTAATTCTTGTTGCTGTTCAGTGCCATTGTGTTGGTTCTGACTCATAGTGACCCTGTACACGGTTTTCAAGGAGCAGCTGGTGAGCTTGAACCACCGACCTTACGGTTCACAACTAACCCTGCAGAGTCCAGCACATTAGCTGCAGTGCCACACTTAGTAAAACTTTCTATGATTTGTAATACCATGCAGACATTGATAATAAAAATCTTTTAAAGACAAAAAAATTATTCTGATGTATTAAAGTGTATTGTCTTTTTCACTTTTTATTGTGAACTGGGTGAAGGTTTATAGCACAGATGATCAGTTTTACATTAAAAAATTCATACACATTGGTTTCATTTTATTGGTCACATCTCAATGTAACATCACTTACCTCACTCCCTCCTTGTTTTCTGTCTCCATTCCTTTCCTTCCTAAGGCTTTTGAACTTTGTCCTTAGGCAAACACTGCCCTTTTGATATCAAATGATTGATTACTGTAAGGTATGTGTACCTCATTACTGTTCCTGTTTCCCTTAACAGACCTGATTATTGTTCGGTTAAAAACTGAGCCACAGCGAAAAGATCAGATTCAGACCTGGAAAGTGATTAAAGGCCACAGTCTCAGGGTTCCACCAGTCTTTACCCAACTAGTGAGCCCAGTCTCTAATGGTTTTGAGTTTTGTTCCACCACTTTCTCTCACTCTATCCAAGACCTTCCAATGTGACCCGTTTAAGAACAGTTGGTAGAGGTAGCCAGACACCATCTAGTTTTTCGGTCTCAGGGTTATAGAGACTGATGTTGGCATGGTCCATCTGTCCTCTGGACTGTTTCCATGAGTCTTCAGTCTATCAATTCTTTCCTCTGGACAGGGAGAGATCACTAAATGCATCTGAGATGGCTTTTAGGAGCCCAGTTGCTACATAACAGAGTAGAACTGTTATTTTGTGGACTTTATTATGCCAGTGGTTCTGAGACCCCAGGTCCAGCAGCAGCTTCCCACAAAGTGTTTGGTTATATCTAAGACATATTATAACTCTGTCCCCTATATAACCCACAACATTTAAGGATATTATTTGTAACAAAAGTAAAAAATCATGTACAAATAACCTGCTGAACCTCTATTTATGTGAGTATACTCCTTGAAACACTGTTCAGCCCGTGTGTCTATTCATGCATCTACTCGTAGATCACCATTATTGCAGGATCATGTACTCAACTGTATTTACTTAATCTTAATTCTCGCTTTCCTCTCTGTGTCTTTCCCTGTCTCTGTCATGTTCTGCTAACCTCCCTTTTATATAGTGCTATCTCTTTCACCCAAGTAACAAGTGTATCAATTTCTTCCCAAGTTTAAGACAGTCTGTTCTACCTTAACATCTATTTGAAACCCTCTTCATTTGGATGTTCTATAACTATACGCTTCCTGCTGTTTGTTTATTTACTTATTTATTTATTTATTTAGTTAGTTAAGTGTTTTATTGTGGATTATATGATAGTTTACCCTGCTTTCTATTTTTTAATTGTGCTCGTTATAAACTGCTATCTCTGGTTTCCTATTTTCAGTCTTAATAGGTGTCTTTTACTTTGAATAGGAGTTCTGGAATGTCACTGTAAGATAAGCAGTGGATTGCAAGGTCAGTTTGAACTGCAAGGTCAGAGGTTCATTTCCACAAGCAACTCCTTGAAAACCCTGTATAGGATTACTGTGAATCAACCAATATCATATTTGAATTGCCTTCTGGGTGGAGTTGTCATGTATGTTAATCTCAGGCTGTTGTGTGCTATATTGGTTTTCTGTCCAAAAACTTCCTTTAGTAGTTTTTGTAAGGTGGGTCTGGTTTTTTTCTTAATTTCTGTTAAGTCATCTTTTGTTTTACCTCTTCCCAAAGCACTGAGTACTGTTCTATTTTTCATAAGACACATGCTATATAAATGCAGTCACATCCCATGATAAGCAAATATAAATTATTTTATTAATAAACTATTGACTAAAATCTATTCATGTATGTCTGAAGTTTTACTATATATATATCTTACAACACAATTTATATCTAATGTCCAAATACCACAAAATCCATGAAATTAAAAAAAGAAACATTTAAAAATAGACTACTAAGAGTGAAAAAAGTCGTTTAGAAAGTCCAAAGACCTCATTCCTTTCCCCACTGCTATCAATTTTTGAGTTTTGAAACAAATTATTGCAACTCTTTCTCAGGCCTAATGGTTTGCCTAATAAGCAGCATGGCTAAAGAGATACAATTCCAGGCTAACAATACTGGCTGGCACCCCCTTCGGGTGGGAAAACTTTTCTTGCACTCTGTGCAGTGGAATATAAAGCTGGGATTAGAAGAGTCCTCAAGGTCCTTCTTTCATGGTACAAAGAGAGGGAGCATCCCATGGACATTTACTCAGTTATCTTTTGAGCCGGTGGGGGGACAGCTCGTGATGGAATGTTTCTTGCAGAACACTCTTTTGCCTGTGAGTACGGGCACTAAAATGCCTTTCACTGTGTACATGTGTCTCATGCGTATAACCTGATCAGGATAAATGGAAACAACACCCATGGAGTTGTTGGTGCCACTGGTTGAAATTCTCATTCCAGTATTATGATGGGCACTTGGGATCTGGAAATCACCTTTAAAGCAACCTGCAGATACAATGCCAAAAATCACACAAAATATTAAGTCATGTTTACTACATGAGGCCAACAGACTGGGGGAAAAAACATATGGGAACTTCCACTTTTGAAATCAAATTTAGCTCTTCTCTGACAACTTCCCTATCTTTACAAGTTATACCTTTTTCATATCAACTGAGAAGTTCACAAAATGCCTCCCAACTTACCTCCGCTTTTGATCATAATCATTCCCTATCTAATCAGAATGTGACACTACACTGGTTCCTTTAAAAATGGTGATTGACCTCAATTCTAATTTCAAGCCATGGATATCCATCAGTGCTAATTTTATCTGATCTCTACTTGACCTTACTGACCACTATTTGCACCCTGAGACTCTGTGAGGCTAACTTCTTAGTTCTTGCTTTACCTGTGTGACCTTTTCATTTTCTTCACTAACTCTTTTTCTTCTAATCATTTTAACTAAGTGATTTTGAGTAGTTCTATTCTTAGTCCTCTTCTCTACAATCTAACTCTGGGTGATCCTACTTACCACCAAGAGTTCCCACTTAGCTATGACAAAGCATTACAAGCACAAGGTCAAAACTGAACTTCCCTCTCCAGCCTCTCCCATTCTCCAGGCCTGGTCTGTCTCTGCTTTCCACACTTCAATGGCAATACCATTAGTTAGAATTCTTGGCACCTTTGGATCTCCTAAGCCTTTGTACTACTATTTCCTGCCTAGAAGATCTGATTATGGCTGCCTCACATTCCTACTTTCTCCCTAAGCTTTGGCTCATGCTACCCACCCCAAGAGCTTGCCTATATATAAAAATAAAAGAAAAACATTACCCAATTGCTCATGCCTTTTCTTGTGCTCCTTTACCCAGTTTCTACTAAAATTGTAAGGTTTGGGGTATCGTTCTATTATACTGTAGCGTAAGTGGTGGTAAGACCCTCTGGTAGCTTAGTGATTACAAACTGAGCTATTAACCTCAAAGTCAGCAGTTCGAAAACTACCAGCCATTCCGCGGGAGAAAGATGAGGCTTTCTGCTCCCGTAAAGATATAACAACCTCAAAAACCCTGTATAGAGTTGCTATGAGTCAGAACCGACTCCACGACACATAACCACAAAGTGGAGGAAGCACACTAAGAGCTATGAAGAGTAGGCTTGTTCAATTGAATACTGTAACCATTTCCTTCCACCCTCAAGTCCAAGGGTTTCACCAGCTTTACCACTTTCACTTGTTAGGCCGCTCTTGAATAGGCCTCATTTTAGTTCCTCTGCCTTCATCCTACTTCAGACCCTCATTCATCTTTAACTTCAATCACTTCAATAGCGGTCTATTTTCTCAGACTTCAGCCCTGCATTCTTGGCCACCATACAGAAAAATCATTCTCTATTATTCCCAAACTATAAAATCCTGCATTACTCATTTACTTTAAATTCATCAATGGCTTCTCTTCTCCCTACTTGTTTTCAATCTGAAGAAGTCAAAGTAGTTGGACTGCTACAGAACAACTTTCCAATATCTGGGTCCTGATTAGCTCTCTCGTTTTAGTACATATACAACCAAAGAGTCAGCCTGAGGTCCTGCAGTGCCCAGGCACAGTACACACGGCTGCCTGCCTCCATGGCTTTGCAGTGGACATTTCCTCTTTGGGAATGACCTTT